TTTCTTTCTTTCTTTCTTTCTTTCTTTCTTTCTTTCTTTCTTTCTTTTTTCCTTTCTTTCTTTCTTTCTTTCTTTCTTTTCTTTCTTCTTCCTTGTCCTCTTTCCTTCTTTTTTCTTCCTTGTTCTCTTCTCCTCTTTCCTTGTCCTGTTTTCCCCACTTGAAATAGCTGTTTGGAACACATAACACTTCAAACAATATGGCTGGCACACACAAGCAAGCAATGTACCTGGGCCACAGAGGGCATTGGTTCCTGCACCCATCCAATTCAGATTCCACGGCCAGCCTTACTGTTTGTAGGCTGAATGAAGCCTTCAACTGAGTGAGGAAGCACTATGGGGCCAGGTCCTTCACACCTATGTCCAGCCTCATTTGTAACTCCAGCTTGCAAGTATTTTTAATCTAATGTTTGGTATTTAGGGCAGCTTTTTGCAAGCAAAAAGCTTGCAAAAAGTATTTTTGCACAGTTAATCTTAGACTCATTTTGTTCATTTAGTGACCATTCAAAGTTACAATGGCACTGAAAAAGTGACTTATGACAGTTTTTCACACTTACGACCATTGCAGCATCCCCATAGTCATGAGAGGCCAGGCGAGGAGAAGCGCCCCTCAATGTGAGTGATGTTGAGTTGGCCGCACCCAGCCAGTCACACCCACCAACTAAGCCACGGCCACAGAACCGGTTGTTAAAAAAATTGAATCCCACCCCTGCCCAGCCCACATGCTGAAGAGGAAGAGCAAAGACTCTGGACCAGAGAAAACCGGGAAGAATCCCAGGAAGGCTCCCGAGAAATCCAGGTGGGACCCTGCCAACACAACCAGACAAGGGGGAGACACTCGCCGAGGAAGAGCATCTGCAGGTCGCAGACAACAGTGATGATGAGGGGGACCAAGATCTGACCTTTTGTGGTCCCAGTGTCTCACAGCCCCTGGAAGAAGGGCTCTGTTGTGGAGTGTTCGAGGCATTGATTGTCTCTGGGTGCACCTGATGTTTGATTAGCTTGTCGACAGTCAATGAGCTAGGGGTTGGGACACGGCTGTTGGCCAAGCCACTGCAGTTCAAGCAGGCAGATGGGTCCCTGTTGGGAGGAGCCCCTGCCACCCACATCATAGAGCCCATAAGGTTGGATATGGCTATGCACTGGGAGCTGATCCACTTCGTGGTTGTATCAATTGAAGCAGTGATCCTGGGCTTGGCCTGGCTGGACAAATGGGGCCCAACTATATGGGAAAGTGGATACAGGAAACTGAGGATAGTCCAGGCCCCTTCCCTCCACCACACGAGCACATTTGTAGGGAGACTGTTAAGTTTGGAGAATAAGGAGACCAGACATCTGACCAGTGACTTC